CCCTCTGACAATGCCGCATGCCCTCAGCACTGACCCTCTGACAATGCAGCCCTCCCTCAGCACTGACCCTCTGACAATGCAGCACTCCATCAGCACTGAACCTTCAACAATGCCGCACGCCCTCAGCACTGACCCTCTGACAATGCCGCATGCCCTCAGCACTGACCCTCTGACAATGCCGCACGCCCTCAGCGCTGACCCTCTGACAATGCCGCACACGCTCAGCGTTGACCCTTCAACAATGCCGCACGCCCTCAGTACTGACCCTCTGACAATGCAGCACTCCCTCAGCACTGACCCTCCAACAATGCCGCACGCCCTCAGCACTGACCCTCCAACAGTGCGGCACTCCCTCAGCACTGACCCTCCGACAATGTGGCACTCCCTCAGCACTGATCCTGTGACAGTGCCCACTCCCTCAGCACTGTCCCTCCGATAGTGCCTGCTCCCTCAGCGCTGATCCTCCGTCAGTGCGGCGCTCCCTCAGTGCTGACCCTCCGACAGTGCAGCATCCCCTCAGCACTGAACCTTCGACAGTGCCCGCTCCCTAAGTGTTGACCCTCCGACAGTGCGGCACTCCCTCAGTGATGGCAGTGGAAATGTCGACCAGGACTTTACACCGAAGTCTGTGGAGTGGGTTACGAACCTGCCTCCTTGTGCCACAGGGAAAAAATAAACAGATGGCGATAACCACCAGAACCAACTCAAAGGAGCTGTCATCCACCTGAGGGTCTCCAAGGGGAACTCCCTCTCCCTGAGTTCCTTACCTGTTTGTGCGCACACCCCAATTTGTTGTGCGCAATGCAGCATTTCTCGTAGTTGGCCTCCAGCTGATCAATCGCCTTAGCCCGATGGGTCAGGTCATGGTAGCCTGTCAGTGGCAGGGTCCCGGGTGGGTGTCGTTGCCGGATCTTCCTCAGGCTACAGATGTTGTGAATGTTCTCCCTGTTGGGTTCTCCCGGAGGGAAGATGACATTTGGCAATGACATGGTCAACATGGGGACGGCATCGCCACCGGCAATGCTATGTCTGTTCCTTCCCTGCCGAATGTCACCAGTGTACCTGTGGTGACGAGCATCATTCTCAAAGCAGTCGTATCTTTCATTGCCCTTGAAGCAACAATGGTACTGCTTGGTTTTAACTGACTTCTCCATCTTGCAGTAGTGATGCAGTTCCCTCTTCCACTGTTGGGAGAAATTAGACAGAATTGCATGGCAGCACTGTAACAGCCCCAACACCATAGGCCCTTTGACAGAGCCAGACGTCACACCATCAAAAATGCACTGGCTAACAACGACTGACAGACAACTGCCAGGCTTTGTTTAAATTTCAAATCAGGCAGGTTGAGTGATTGGTCAAGGAATTGCCCTGAGAAATGAATCAGAAAATGGTTATCATCTATCTTGTTCTGTTGAACAAGTTCAGTGCCTGTACATGTTCCTTCTGTCTGCAAATAACAGGGCCCTCTGTATTAATATACGTAGATTTTAGTATGTGCAAGTGCCAAACACTGACAATTGTAAATTGGTTGTCAGTGTAATACTGGGCACGCTCAGGATTATTCAACAAATGTCATCTAATTACAGAATCACACCTAATGTGGTGTAGAGTGTTTAGCAACTGGAAAATGATTGGGTCCAATCAATAACTGCTTGTTGTGAACAGCCAAACGCTATGTTGTTTGATAAGATTGGCCAATCTTTGCTGTACAGCCTCCATAGTTGGCTGGTATCACACCAGCACTGAAATTCATTTCCCACATCATGTATTTGTGTGATTGGCAGAATGTCTTTTTCCCATTCTAACCAAGACATAGAGCATATAAGCAGGGCTGGTTACCCAAGGATCATCTCTCGACAGAAGTCAAGAGGTTTAGGGACCAGGGCTCAGTGCTCCAGGCAGCTGCTGGCATGGCTTCCAATGGTGGAGTGATGGGAAGTGTGCAATAGTCCAGAATTGGAGGAGGTGACAGAGATAGGGAGGGATGTAGTGGCTGAAGGGTGTTACAGAGATGGGGGTGTGTAGAGGCTGGAGGAAGGGACAGGGGTGCAGGGGCTGGAGGAGGCTTCAGAGATCGGGAGGGGGTGTAGGGGATGGAGGAGTTGACAGAGATAGAGAAGGTGAGTAGGGGCCAGACATGGCTACCCAAGATAGGGAAGGGTGTAGGGATGGAGGAGGTGACAGTGAAAGGGAGGGGCTGGAGGGGGTTACAGAGATAGAGAGGGGGTGTAGGGGCTGGAGGGGCTTACAGAGATAGGGAGGGGTGTATGGAAAAGGTTACAGAGATAGGGAGTGTCAGAACTGCTCGGGTTTAGAAATAATGATGTAAATTGAAAAAAACACAGTGGAGTGTTAATGTCTGGGGTGGAATAAGGAGTGGATCTACCAAGGTCCAACAGTAGGTTGATAAATAACTCACCACTTCCAATGAGCACGCCAGTCTGTGTTCTTTGCTCGACATGTGACAACAGTTCCTATAGCCCATCTCCATCCTGTCTACCGCTTTAATCTGTCGATGTAAATTGGCGAAACCAGTGTTCGGGAGCTGTGTGTAACTGTGCGCCCTCCTTTGCCCATGGTAATGACAGATATCATTGATGTTGGCAGCACTGGGACGTGCCAGAGGGAAGGTGACCTTGTATTTGTGATGGTTGTTGTGCCTGTGCTTTATCGCTTTCGGACATGCGTGCACATCCTTACAACGTGACCTGGGCTGGGGTTGATGGCCGGCAGGATGTTTATGGGGTTTGAAGGAAGCCATTGCTGGGTAGATTTGATGTTGCAGTATGCTGTGGGATCCTGTTGCATCACTGTGTGTCTTAGTATCTTCACCATCTATGATGAATCAAAAATAAAAACGCATTTTCATTGTAATGGACCAGACCAGACCAGACCCCCTCAAAATATTTTAAGATATTAGCCTAGACCCTAACTTTTTCTTATTTTTAAGGCAAATGTAATGTGCTGTGTTCCCAATGCATTGCAATTGGTCTTAACTACTCAGAGTTAAGAAAAACTCAATTTATTTAAACGAAATACAACTAAAGAAAAAGAAATTTAGATTACCTGAACTCTTTTGGAAAACTTAACAGAAACAATAGTTACTATAACTATCACTAATGAACTGTTCCAATATAGTCACATGCCTCAAACACACCCTTTGGCAAAAAGGCAAACTCAGAAATCAGATTTTGTCTCATGTGCAATCAAGCAGCCTAGAAAGAGAACCCCCAGGCTTTGGCTGTAATCGAGAGAGGGGAAAAATAGCTTCCAATTCTTCAGGCCCACAACAGCAACTGCTTAGAGCTAAACCTGAAAACTAAAAAACAACCTAGAAATCCTGGTTCTGTGACAGCTGGTCACACCGAGCCAGGCTGCTTCTATTGTTCCAATTTTTTTAAAAAACCCAAGCCTGAAACATTGACTTTCCTGATCCTCGGATGCTATCTGACCTGCTGTGCTTTTCCAGCTTCACATCTGTTGACTCTAGCTGTCAGCATCTGCAGTCTTTACTGTCTCCAAGGCCCTCACAAGCTGTTTAGTCTAGTGGTTCTGGTCAATGGCCCAATGGGCCAAGGAGTGGCAGATGAAATTTAATTTAGATAAATATGAGGTGCTGCATTTGGGAAAGGCTCATCAGGGCAGGACTTGTACGCTTAATAGTAAGGTCCTGGGGCGTGTTGCTGAACAAAGAGACCTTGGATGCAGGTTCATAGTTCCTTGAAAATGGAGTCACAGGGAGGTAAGGTAGTGAAGAAGGCATTTGGTATTCTTGCCTTTATAGGTCAGTGCATTGAGTATAGGAGTTGGGAGGTTATGTCGCGGCTGTATAGGACATTGTGAGGCCACTTTTGGAATACTGCATTCACTTCTGGTCTCCCTGCTATAGGAAAGATGTTGTGAAACTTCAAACGGTTCAGAAAAGATTTACAAGGATGTTGCCAGGGTTGGAGGGTTGAGCTATAGGGAGAGGCTGAATTGGCTGGGGCTATTTTCCCTGGAGCGTCAGAGGCTGAGGGGTGACCTTGTAGAGGTTTATAAGACCATGAAAGGCGTGGATAGGGTGAATAGACAAGATCTTTTCTCTGGGGTGGGGGAAACCAAAACTAGAGGGCATGGGTTTTGAGGTGAGAGGGGAATGATTTGAAAGGGACCTGAGGGGCAGCTTTTTCACACAGAGGTGGTGCATGTATGGAATGAGCTGCCAGAGGAAGTGGTGGAGGCTGGTACAATTACAACATTTAAAAAGCATTTGGATAGGTACAAAAATGGGAAGGGTTTAGAGGGATATGGGCCACATGGGACTAGATTTATTAGCTGGTCGGCGTGGATGAGTTGGACTGAAGAGTCTGTTTCCGTGCTGTATATCTCTATGACTCTATAACTGCTCGGTACCTCTGTCTTACAACCTCTCTTCAAAACAAAAACCATGCAAAATAACCTCTTAAAGCCACAGCATCATCACAGGGTTGTGAACATCCCCTGGATTATAATAGCACTCTAAGCAAAGAAACCCTACAGTGGGGAGGCAGGCTATTCGGCCCATCAAGTCCACACCAACCCTCCAAAGACCATCCCACCCAATCCTTGTAACCCTGCTTTTCCCATGAATGATCCACCTAGCCTATACATCCATAGTCAATCTGGGACAATTTAGCACGGCCAATCCACCTAACCTACACATCTTTAGACTGTGGTGGGAAACCGGAGCACCCGGAGGAAGCTCATGCAGACACAGGGAGAACGTGCAAACTCCACACAGACAGTTGCCCAAGGATGGAATCGAAGTTGTGTCTCTGGTGCTGTGAGCTAACCACTGAGCCACTGTTCTTTCCCAACATGCTCAAGTGAAACTTGCCCAGTCTCTTCCCATGTGCGTGAGCCAAACAGAAACTGCAAGGGCAGGATATTATCACAGAGTAGACAAATAAGTCACTATTTTTTTCTGTTTTTATTAACAACAATTTTAATGGACAACTTTGAGAAGTGAAATTGAACACAGTGCATCAATAAGAATTTCTATTAATTGCACACAGACAGAACTGATCCACAAGAGAGTGGTACTGTGCACAGAGTACTGGGGCTGGGAAAATCATGCTAAGAAGATTGGTTTGTGGAAAGAGTCAATTTGGTGACAGTAGAGTGCAGCGAGTCACATCCACAAGTCAATGCAAAACTACAGAAAATTCTAGGTCGTCGAAAAACAGAAACTTCTAAACACGCAGTAAGGTTTTAAGGAGAAAATGATATGCTGATAGTCAGGTAGCTGGAGCTTGAAATCACACTTAGCTTCAACAAAAGCAGAACTTGCATAGCAGAGAGCTGAACGTCTCTAACTGCAAAACCGTGCCTAGACTGATGGCAGCTAAGAATAGAACAGATAACGTATTAACGAAACGTCATAAGATGATTGGTTTATTGTGTTGCTAAGGCACATGATCAAAATATTATCGGACAACGGGAAAGTATGACTTAGTGTGAAAAATGCAACTGTGACCATCTGTATCAGATGTGCCCTGTCGAGTAGTTAAAACTTGCAGGTCAATTCTCCGAGCATGCAACTAATAAAGAAAAAGTCATTTGGTGTGTTACCATCTGACAAGTTATTTCTTCAATAGGTTCTGTACTCACTTTGACAAATTTTCCATGCGTATGACATGGAGACTGTAAATCATTCTGGTAGTTAGCACATGCCATTCCCATACCTGCACATGCATCAAAACTAATAGGCAGAACACGCCACTTAAAAACAACAGAAAATATGATTCCTAAACCAAGGCCAACAGCAAATTTCCCCACCATGTCCGCCATATACCCCTCCAAACCCTCCTGGCTAATTCGGTCTCCGCCATCTTACAATGGCCCACAATCATCACCTTTAAACAGTGCTTTCAAGGAGCACAAAGAGATGTGGAGATGTCGAAGGAGGACATTCCAGAGATTGGTCCACAGGCAGCTGAAGGCCCGGCCCCCAGTGGCGGAGCGACGGCAATCAAGAGAGGTCAGAACAGGAGGAGAGCAGAGACCTGGGAAGGTTGTGGTAGGT